GAATAGCTGTGAGGTTTGAGGATAGTAAACTAATAAGCTGCAACCAAGTCAATGTTTGAATAGTATAATCTTTCTAAGGAAAGTGGTTATAGTGGTTAGTTACTATAACTGAAAAGCTTACAGTTTCTGTATATCTTTCATCCAGTAATTCCCTTTCTAGAAATATGTTCTAAGAAAATAATCAAGAATGTGAACATATGTTTGGTTACATGGAACATTTATGCCAGCCCTATTTATATTCTTGAAAAGATTGGAAGCAACCTTATGCTCCACAATAGAGGATTGATTAAGTAAATAACAGTGCAGCCAGGACAAAAGGCATGTTACAGAATATTTGATGACAGTGGAATATATTCAGTAGATACTCTTATTTAGAAGGGAAGATTTGGAAATTATGGTAGGATTTACATTATTTGACACGGATGAAGTGTTTAGAAGGATGTGCACTAAAATACTAACAATAGTGCGTGATTTAAACTTTTTCCCTTCTTATTTATCTAGACTGCCTAGATTTTCTAGAATGTGCTTTTCAGTAAAGCAGAAATGACTGCTACCAAACTGCATAAGAAATGCACAAATACAGCAAAAGTAATGTATGTTAACAAGCACATTCATCGTCGTAAGCCTTTCCCACTAGAAGTGAAAGTCCCTTTCCAATGCGGATAAAAGAAGGTGGGGAGGGGGAGTGGCTCTCTGTAATTACCCTACCGTGCTATAGTTACCCTTGAACATCAGATGCCCAAACTATCTGACAGCAATACTGAACAACCCCAGTTTAATCATAAAGTGTTAGGTGATAATCGGTCTGAGTGTCTAGAATCTTTTAGTGTCTTAGTCTAATTACAAATGAAAGGAGACAACCTTTGACTCATCCTCAGCTCTTGGAAGAATATTAGACCAATCAGGCTAGAACAATGCTTTAATTTCATTCGGACCTAGTTCCTGCTTTAGAACAGGATTAAAAATAAATGCAGAGAAAGAGATGGGGAAAGTGAGTCATCTAATTTACATTGAACATAATGCAAATAAGTATTTTTAATAGATGGTCAATACCTAAAATACTCAGTTATAGCAGATTAGGGCGACTTCTTACTGGAAAATTTGAGTAATTTTAATCTTACTGCAGATTTTTCAGCCTGTCAACTCAGAACTCATTTATTTTTGAAGAAGAGAAATCTTTTACTTGGAGACAAAGGTAAGTCACAGTACACCTCAAACTAATTAAAGATGAATCTTTTATGTAACAATAGTACAAAGAAAAAATCAAATTGTATTTAATAACTCAGACAAAACAGCCATCCAGCAGAAGAATATTGCCTTCTTTTAATTATTAGAATAAATCATTTCATGGAAAACTGTTTGGCACACAGTGACTATAAGATGATGATAAATATAACACAAAACAATAAAAGGAGAGGGATTCTCTATCCAGGGAAACTCATGCCAGTCTCAGGGGAAACCTCTGAAGAATCATGTGCTGAGGGGCACCTTAGATGCCTCAAAATGTCTGTGTTACTCCCCAAAGACCTAAACAGAGCCTTGGCCATTTGAGGTTGACACATTTTCATCTTTAGGACCTACCCTTTTGTATTATTCCAAACCAGACCAAGCACTGAAATGCTGTTCTCAGAGAGTTCTTGTTGTTAGGATAAAATAATGCAGGTCTGCTGGTTACTAAGTGTGGGTTGGGGAGCATAGACTCAGAGCTTGTCCTGTTGAAGAAACCCAAGTCTGGTAAGACAGAGTGCAACTGGGGACAATCTGCCCGAGCTCTGCATCCTTTTCCAGATGTTGTGGTACTGAGAACCAGGCAAATTCCTAGCCTTCTAACTGGTTTTAGTCTTAAGTCCCACCACAGATGCTTGGAAGCTACACTTGTGCTCTGGCTACCTTGTAGCAGATAGACATTTAATTAAAAGCAAGAACACCAACAATCTAAGACATCATTATTTTTTGTCATCCCCTTGGAATGGCTTTACCATGTACTCTGTGAGACATAGATGAGATGGTTTCTTCCCATAGGCAGATCTTCACAAACTATATGACAAAGCTCACTTCTTACTTTTCTTAAAAAGTATATTTGCTATAATAGCTGGCTCTGGACTTCCTACTAAATTTCTGTGAATCCTTTCAATAAAGGTCACTACCTACCAATATCCTTAACTACAATGAAAAAAAAATAGAATCTCACCCTGAGGAGTATTTCTTCATGAGGCATATGTCATATTTTAGTAATTTGGTTCCTTCTAAAATTCTGGTAGGTTCCTCTCAAATACTGGTACACCTATCCTAATTCTTAACTATGTTGGTCATGACTGAAATGCTCTCTACTAACTAACTCCACCTAATTAGGTTATTCAGTGCCTCATACAATTTTGCTAACTATATTTGCAAGACTCTGGACATTTTCTTCTGAAAGAGAAAACCACAATTCTCTTGGGCCAGCAGGCTGGCTTAGTGACCTTTGTCTCATTATCCTAAAAGACTGGAATTCATCATACAAGAGAAGAACACAGACAACAGAGGCTCATGAGAAGCAGAAAATCCTAATAATGACCATGGTTTGCAAGAGTATAACCTTTGACCCTGAATAGCACACAAGGCCTGGTCTATACAAGTTCAACAGTACAATGAAATAGAAAAAAGAATAAAGAGTGTAGTTTTTCAAGAATTTTACCCACAAAAAAAAATTGATGGTCAAATTATGATTATTTATGTGGAGAAGTTTAGAAATACTTTCAATTTTGTTGATGCTTTTTTCCAGACAAGGAAACCTAATTATTTTTATAATAATACTTATTGTTACTAGTATGTAATTTACATAAGAAAAATTTTTATCTGTTTTTTAATTACTTATAGTCTTAGAGATTAAACCCAGGACTTTGCACATTTTAGGCTAGTGGTCTCCAGTTGAGCTACATCCCAGCCCCACGCAACAGAAAGTTCTTCATGCATATTTTCTTATGTAATCTATATAAATGCCCTTCTTAGTTCCTTAAGGAAATCAAGTTTCACCAGGTGGTAGTGGTGCACACCTTTAATCCCAGCACTCAGGAGGCAGAGGCATGTGGATCTCTTTGAGTTCAAAGCCAACCTGGTCTACAGGGTGAGTTCCAGGAAAGCCAGAGCTGTTACACAAAGAAACCCTGTCTCAAAAAAACAAAAACAAAAAAACAACAAAAAAAAAAAGAAAGGAAGGAAAGAAGATGGGAAGAAAGAGAGAGAGAGAGAGAAATCAAGGTTCACAAAAAGTAATCAACTTGTTCAGTGTCAAAAATCTAGTAAGCCAGAGCTGGAGAGACATCTTCGCAGTTGAAATCACTTACTGCTCTTGAAGAGGACACAGGTCTGGTTCCCAGCACCCACATGGAGGCTCACCACCTTTTATAACTCCAGTTCCAAGGGTGATTATAACCCTCTTAACAATCTCCAAGAGCACTGTACACACATGATGCATGTACATACTTGCAAGTAAAACACTCATATACATAAAATAATAACAATATGTATTTTAAATCTACTGAGTTGTGAGCCTTAGGCTCAGTGGAGGCCTACAGGTTCTACAACCCATGCACTACACTATATAGATGTTTCAGAGGAGAAAATGGAGGTGTAGGAAGGAACCTGGAAATCTTCATTCAAAACATAAATGTCAAACTAACTTTAAAAGGTAGAAATATGCTTTTCAGAAGTAGAACAAAAACAGTGAATTAAAAATTAAATAACTTTATAAAATGACTTATAATGATATTCTGCTATACCCATAGATCAGTGTCTGGCTCAGCCATCGTCAGAGAGGCTTTGTCCTATAGTGGATGGTGGCTAAAACAGAAACCCAAAACTGAACAAGGAGAAGAAGGTGAGAGACTTTGGAACAGTCAGTCCTAAATGGGATGTCTTCATCAAATCCCTCCCCTAAGGGCTCAGGGAGCTATGTGAAGAGGAGGTGGACCGACTGTAAAATCCAGAGGGGATGGGAAACCATGGAAACATGCCCTCTCAGACACAGCAGGACTGATGCACATAGGAACTCACAGAGACTGTGGCAGCATGCACAGGGCCAAGGCACCTAGGCCCCAGTGCTGAAAGTGAAAGTGGACAGGAGCTCTCATCCCTAACCAAGAAGCTGTGTCTTCAACTGACAAGTGCACATAAAGGGAAAAAAATCCATTTTTAGGATTTAGTGTCTCCAATGGAGTCTCGCTGGGTATACAAACCACACTTAATGGCAGGCCCCATGCCCAACAGTAGATGGCCAACACAAAATGAACACAATGATGTATTTGGAGACTTTTTTTGAGGGGGAGGGGTCTCAATTTGCTTTCTTTGGGCATTTTTTTTTACCTTACTAGTCTTTTTCATGTATACTATGGTTTCCAAATTTGTGTTTTTATGGTGTGTGTGTGTTTCTCATGCTTTTTCTTTGTTTTTGTTTTATTCTCTCTCTCTTTTTAATTTGCCTGTTTCCTCAAGAGAGAGAGAAAGAAGGCATGGAGTTGGAAGGGTGTGGGGGTTGAGGAGATGAGTAAAGGGAATTTGTGACCAGAATATATCGAATGGGAAAAGATGATTTCCAATTTGAAAAGAAAAAATAATAATTTTATAATTGAAAATAGCAATACAACTGAAATGAAATTGACTGATAACCTAAAAGTTAAAGTTTATAAGGTGTTCCAGCAGTGCTGGGTAGCTTGCTCAAACTCTGCTAGAGTAAAATTTGATGCCCTGGATGTTTCCTGGACTTTAGCCAGCTACTTAGTTACTGATCTTATAATTAGTTACGCTGACTGTCCAGACAGCCTACAGTGCAGGCCAGGAGCTATGAGACTGCATTCCTTAAGTTCGTATCGTATAGTCTTGAACAGTAATCACAATAGTAGACACAGTATGGTATAATTACAATAGCTTTAGACTGAGGCAAGAGCCAAAATTCTCATTGTAGATTTACTAATCTTGTGAGCCTAACAAATTAACTTGATTTCTTTGTGTCCTATACTTACCATTTGGGAAGAAGGAAATCTGTTTACTCAACCGAGTTGCACTCCACTTCCAATGGCTCCATTCTCCTGAGACTCCCAGCTTGGTAAAGGGTGGGAGGACCAGAAAGTTGCAAAGACAGAAATTCCATAAAGGAAGTCAGAAACTGATAGGTAGAAAAGTAACCCAGGGGCGTGTGACAGCGGAGGCAGAAAAGAGACATGTGTCTTGCTTTTACCACATCAAGACATGGTTGTCTCATTTTGAAAAAGAACTGAATTGGCTCAGGATAGCAAGAAGGTAAGATTTTACTGCGTGGAAGGCCGTGAAAGTCGTAGGATTCCTGGATGAGTCCCAGGAGCTTTCCTTTTCAATAGCTCTATAACTGAGGGTGGTGCTCCCTTGCATGGAGGAAAATGGCGATGGTCATGTTTTAGAATTGTTTGTCTTCCAGATATGACACTGAGTAATCTCTGAGCCTGATTCCAATGACAGCATTCTGTAATCACACACCGGGACCAAATAAGCCATTTGGAAAGGTGTAAGGTGGTGGGAAATAAATTAGATCCATACCAATGAGCAGCTTAGGACAAAAAAAAAAAAAAAGAAAAGAAAAAGAAAAAGGCAGCCAAGAGAATCTAAGATAAGTACAAGCTAGGAGCTCAGTTGGTATTAAGGAACTCTAAAACCATAGTCTTCTGGAAAACCATACATACATGGCATGCTGAAGGGGTCCCAAGAAGACAACAGGGTGGAGCCCAGCAGATAGAAGCCCACTCCGCAGCTCACTCGGTGCCTCTTTATTCTTGAAGGGCTAAATGAGTAGGGACTACAAGAATTTGTCTGGGTGGGTTTAGTGTGAAACCCGCCATTTTATTTTGTAAGGGCTGGACTTATCACCTCAGAAGTGTGAAAATGGGTGTGAAAAACATTCCCTCTCCCACCCTTATTTCATCTAATAAATAATTTGGTTTTTTTCTTTAAAGCCTTTGCTCAACCAGCAAATGAACCAAAATACCTTGTTGTTCCTTGTGCCAAAACCTCACCTTTTAAAACATAATTTTCTAAAACTCTTGGGATCAGAAATTTGGTGTCACCATAGGTTCAGTCGGGCACAGTCAGGATTAGTTGCCATGGGACACACTCTCTTCTCCCTCTGTTCCACATTACCACATTCAGAAATACTCCTTGGCACCTGTGTGCCAAAGGGAGATTCTCTTGAGATGTTCTTACACAGTGTGAGGAATCACCTCCACTCCCGAAGAAGGACCTTACCTTGCTGTATGGATGGCCACCAGCACTGGGCAGACGTCATCTGTTCTCCCCACTTAGATACAGCCAATGGTCCCTGAAAGTGTTGCCCGGGAAAGCATCTTGTAAACTGTAAGGCTCTACCTAACGATATAAAATATGATCATTAGGTTTTTATTTGAATATGAATGTGTGTGTTGCTTCTAAGTGGAGGCAATCCCTCCAGTTTTCTCGCTCCTTTAAGGTTTAGTTTACAAAAGCAAGTGCTGTCACAATCACAGCTGGTTTTAACCAGTCTAAGCAAGGACTGTGGCTGAGAAGACAACGGTGAGAGGTGTGTGCCAAATCAATGGGAGCATAGAAGTTTCGCTTCACTACTTGATGCATGACATTAAATAGCACCAAAAAAGTAGAGGGTATTTCACACTTTTTTTTTTATATTTCTTAAGTGACAGGTTCCACCCAAGTCAAGTAAGTTCCAGCTTATTTTCTAACCTTTTTATTATTTCTCTTATGTTTTGAGATTATAATATGATTAATCATTTCCCCTTTTCCTTTCCTCCCTTAAAACCCATATATCTTTCCTTTCTCTCTTTCAAAATTGTGGCCTCCTTTTCCATTAGTTTTTGTTAATGTATATATGTGTGTGTGCACACACACACACACACACACACACACACATATATATATATATATATACATATATATATGTGTGTATATATTCCTACATATATAAGTACAACCTGCTCAATCTTTTGTAAGTGGCCAATGTCATTTGATTTTTTTTTTTTTAATGTGAGCTTTGGATCCTGTCTCCAGTAAGCCAGTAAGCCTTTACTTACTTCTCACTTTCAAGAAACCACTGTTTGTGTTCCAGTCACTCAGTCACTGATACCAATGGGTTAGAGAACCTTCACACTCAACTATTCACGTGAAGTTCTGTAGTCTTATAAATCCTAGTTTACAAACACAAGGAGATGCCTACTCATAAGGCCAAGTATGCTACCTTGCCTGGATACCTGCATCATTAATTTGACACCATAAAACTCTTAATGGTAGCTTCACTTTGAACTGTACTAACAAAGCATTTCCTTTCTGTTGGACTGGAAAACTTAGATTGTTAGTAAATTTTTCTTCTACTTTAAAATCACATTCAGAGACTGACTGTTGGAAAGAAGTAAGCAATTCACTCTGGGCACATGGAAGACAGAACCTGATGTGTAACCCACAACTCTTAGAAACTCATTCTGAAGTTAGAACAAAAATCAAAATGTAGTGGAGAGGACATTCAGATTTAAAACAAAAAATCCTAAAGTCTCTAGAGCATAGGCAAAGATTCCCTCCAAGGATATTCTAGTCGCCAAACCCAAAACTTATTCAGAAACAAAAGAACAAAAGTGAGATTAAAACAGGACAAAAATTCCACAGTTTTATTGAAGAAGTGATATTTGAGCTATAAAGGATTTCCTGTCATTCTTGCTTTAAGTAATTTTATAATATTCTTTTGTTCTTGGGTTAGTCTAAATCCAAACAATCATGTATGCAAATGGTTCACTATAGCAGTGGATGACCCAACAGTGTAAACATTATTGTTTATCCAGAAGCATTATATGTTCATACACAAATGGCATTAAAAGCTTGTGGTCAGATCAAAAAACCACAACTGTAATTGTTTATTTATATAGCTCACCATTACTCCGTAGTGTAAGTTTACATTTTACAAAATTTCTAAACAATGCTGTTACTCTTAGGAGGGTGAAAAATGTATGACTTGCCTAAATGATTAAAGACAAACAGCTTAGGTCTAAGCCTGTGGCAAGATGCTTTAGTATGGAAATTATTTACTTTGCCCCGTTTTAAAATTCTCATTTTTAGGCCGCCCTTGAAACTCTATGATAACGGGGCCATTCAGTGAATTTCTGCCTTTTTCTTTTTAGTTCAAGGCAGCTGGTTTCTTTCTTCTCTAAGCAGAAAGCTAAAGTATATTTATCACCCTAAGAATGACTCAAAACAAACAGGAAGTCTTCATCAGCCGACTCCTGGGCATAGCTGATATTAGGTACCGGCAGGGAGGAAACAGAGCGTCCATTCTCTAGGAGCCTTGCAGAAGGTACATGCAGATGCAGGCGATAACCAAGTTAGAGATGCTTCGAATGACTACCATGTCCTCCCAAGATTAAGTGGCATTGCAACGCTCGCCAGCTTTCTGAGGCTACGAAAATTCCTCAGGAGTTTTCCTTTCCATTTCAGTTTGAAAGAGCAGTTTGAACTGGATACCACGAGCCTCAGAATCCTTGTGAACCTAAGCGCCAAAGGAAACCTGGGCGGGAGCTATTCTGGGAGATCTGCCTTTGATCTGGTTGCTAGGAAAAAGCCCGGCTTTTGTCTGGAAGTATTCTGAATGGCTCCTTCAGTCAGAATGAGGCCTGCAGGTCACTGTCTGAATGAAGTGAAGAGGATTTTTTTTTTTAACGCTAAAAATGAAGTTGTCGCTGTATGCCGCAATAAAGCTGGAGAGAGCGACTGTATTGCCATGCCATGGCAGCGGCTCTTTGCTACAACTTAAAGCTCCAAGGTATATTGTGAAAATCAGTGGAGCATGCTCACAGATCAAATATATGCAAATATCCCTCAGTGGCACATATGTTCCTAGAGACCTTCCCCTACACCTGCTTTTCAAATAAAACCTGTTTCAGATTCAAAGCACACTTTGTTTTTATTAGTACAAATGTTCACTATCAAACAATTTTTAACCTTATAAATAAATAGAATGGCCTCACACCTAACTTTCCCCGACCAAACCAAAGTCGGTGGACCGTGTTGCTAACTACTAGTAATATTTCAAAAGTATTACAAAATACACTTGGAAGGGAGCCTTTAAATGCTTTTTCCCCCCTTCTATCTGTTGACTAATCTTGTTTAGGATAATGCAAGTACCTTTGTATAAGGACTTTGAGGACAGTATCTAATCTTCCCAGACCCTGCTAAGGTAGAAAAGGAGGACATCTTATCTCTATTCAACAGATGAGAGGACAGAGATGCAAGGAGGCTGAATGACAAGCTCCCATCTGAAGTGGCACATTCTGTACTGACGTAGGGAGAGACAGGACCAGGGCTGGAGTGTAACCCACCACTCATATTCCTGGTCCCTTTCAGAACCTGCATTATATTCTAGTGACCGCGATAGCTCTCTGTACATTCTTGGGAAAATGTGCAGCAGCTCTGAGGAGCAAGCCCTTGACCTTGGCACCAGTGAAATCAGGTGCAAATGAACAGAGCCACTGAATGAAAACCCAAGTAGCCTGAAGCAGAATGGGACAAACCAAGCCCCTTCTAAATCAGTCTGGAATGGGAAAGAAAGGGCTCTTTTTCACATTCATTACTTAATAAAACTTCATTAAGTTTTATTCTCTCTGTGGGTTTTCTAAATTTTATTTTGTTCTCCTAGCAAATCCTAAAATGTAAGCAGACACAAAAATAAGACAGAGCTAAAGAGGAAAAATGCATAAATAAACATTCACTTTTAAAGAACAAAATGAAAGAGGAGAAAATGAACAGAAGTTGAGAACTTGGAGCCCGTAGCAACACTGTTGAATGATTCTGCACTTGTATTTGTGCTGCATAGTAAAGGTAAGAAATGTCTAACAATGAAAGGGATCCCTCTCCAAATAATGTCAGACATCCTCTTTTAAAGAAAGTACCTTATTTCTTGGAGAAAGTTAGAGTGGAAATAAATTCAGACTCACAGGAGTCATGATCAGATGTTCCCCAAATGAACTAGGTGATAAGAGATGGCCACCTCAAGGAGGCTGGGGACAGAGGTATCTATCACACAGGAACACCTCCTCCAGTTTGAGCAGGAAAGCAGCCTGGGCTATCTCTTGGAATGCAATTACCCTGCAGATCACCAGGCAAAAAAATGCAGGAAGCCTAAAACAGACCTGCCTGCCAAAAGATACTTGGACAAGAAAGCAGAAATGTTTTCTAAGGAGTGTGACATCTCCTTTTACCTGCCTACTTACCCAAATCTCTTTTTGAACTTTTTATTCAGCTGTAGGAGATCTTTGGGCACTAAAAAAGTTTTGTAATTTTTCCTGAAAGGCACAAAGCAGATCTAGATTTTAGTATCAAATTAATGGATCCTGAACTCACAATCCAGGACTGTTAGTGTGTTAAAAAAACAGCTCTGAATGTGGAGAGAAACCAAATTGCCTTCCTGGATCCGTGTAATGGCAACAGGCTAACAGTACCAATTAGCCAGCTACACAATGGGTCTTCACGAACTGCCACCGGACCAAATCTGAGGAACTCCTACTGAGTGGGACCCAAACCTGGGGGCTTGTTCTGTCCTCAGTTACTCACCATGGCCCTGTGCAACCGTTCCAGCAACCCGCGAGGACTTGGCATGAATTTCGCAGTGTGTCGCCATGGCTAGGGCAAAGCAAGAGCCAAAAATGAATTAGGTAAAGACAGGAGGCTCCAGGCACAAATTCAGCAGGTGAATTTATTTGCAAATTACTCCTTTTAGCTTTCTCATGTGAGATTCTCTTTAGATACTTGGAAGAAAACTTTATCATTCTTAAAGCAATATCTGGTTTCAATAATTGGTTCAGAACCAATCAGGCAAAAAATAATAAGGGAGTCCTTTTTTAAGTCATTATGCATTTATGATGGTATTATTGGTTTCAATGATGAGAATATTATTGTTAGGACTGAGTTGAGTTAAGCCATTTTATTTTCTTGGAGATTTCTCTATCATTTAATTGATTTACCTTATTCCTTCTGCCCCAACACACTAGTTTTCTGTGTTCTTCTTGCTCTTTGGATTAATTTGTGTAAAAGCCTTCTGCAAAAGCTATCTTTTGGGACCCACAACCTCCTCTGTGAGCATTTGATAACACATGACATTCTACTGAAGTGTAAGTCCATCAGAAATTAGACACTAGATCATAGTTTTGATATTTTGGGAGGCTGACAAAGTACTAATAGCTAAGGCAGTGATCCTCTGCTCTGGTTTGGTAGTAGCCTGGAGTATCTCCAAGTACCTCCTAGATGGTGAAAAAAAAATTACAAAACAATATCTGGAGAAAATTAATTAGAGTTTATCCTAATTTGAAATGTGAAAAAAAAATCTGCTGTTAGACATAGGAAGTGTGTCACAGTGGGACTTGGAACTTTGTGAGAAAACAAGCAACAATAGTCATTGAAACTCCTCAAAGCTTAAAATCCAGTATGTACTCCAAAAGTTAAAAGAAGAAGAAGAAAAGAAACTCTATTCTTGTTCTTAGGAAGTTCAATTCTAACACATACCTTATGACACACTCAGAAAGGAACTAAGACAAAACCCATTCCAGGACATTTCCTCTAAAAGAATGCAAATAAGGCGTGCCGCATACTTTCATGAATAAAATAAACTCGATAATATCTAATAACGCCATGACGCTATTCAATGTGCCTAAATTACAGTTGTACTAAGAAATGAGAAAATCTCTGGAATGGGACCAGGATTGCTTTTTAATTGTCCATTAGAAAAAGGCAAAAAATAAAATCACCGGCAATGATTTCCTTTAAGATCGTTCACCTTATTTTTGAAATGCAAAATCAAAAACACACTGTGAGGCTGAGGGATCCAAGCAGGCAGCTGTCTGCTCTCCTCAGCTCAGACATAGCAGCTACAGTAAACCCACAGTGCCAGCCTGAGCCTGGCCGGGCAACTAGCAGTGCCCGTAACAAAACCTTCACTTTTCAGTGTCCAGTGAGCCCACTGAGAATCTCTCTCTCTCTCTCTCTCTCTCTCTCTCTCTCTCTCTCTCTCTCTCTCTCTCTCTCTCTCCCCCCTCCCCCTTTTCTTCTGAATTGAGGTCTTACTATTTAGGGATTTCTTCCATTATGTGATATATTCCCAAAGCCCCTGAAAAACAATGACAATTTTATTTTCACATTAAAATTCCTCTCCCAGGGCCATATTCCATGAATGAATGGCTTGTAAGACACACCGCTAATAATAAAATCTGCCAACTGTGCCAACACAAGTGGAAGAAAAGCCCAGGAAAGCTGAGGCTGGCCAGAGAGTGTCTCCCATACCTACAGTGGCTGACGCCTTCCAAGAAAGCTGTGGAGTCGCCTGCTTATTTACGTGCGTGCTCGCCAGGAAGGTATTACTTTTAAAAAGTGAAAATAAATAGCTCCTGCAACCCCTTCCTTGCCTTGAAATTACTATTTCTATTAGAAAATAAACTTGTAAACTCCATCTGTTAAGATGCTCGGGAATCAGACCCCACAGAGCATACCAATGTGCGTTGAAGGATCAATCCTAGACTGGCAAGGGAAGGAACTAGAAAGGAGAAGGCAATTCCCTTTCAGATTTAATGCCACTGTGAAAGGCTGCAGAAAAATCAAACACCACAAGAGTGATTGTGTATGTCACAAACTCAACTCATCTGCCACCCCCAACACTGGTACGCTGTGCTACTGTCACTGAATCATCTGGATTCCAGAGTGAACGCAGCCTGAGCTCTCCCACCCAGTGGACTAGCCAAGACCTGGTTTTGTTTGTTTGTTTGTTTGTTTGTTTGTTTTTCATCTCAGGCTAGTCTTCTTTCCTCTACAACAACCACAACATCACCATCACCAAAAGACTTTTAATCCATTTATTTACCCACCATCAATAAGCTGGTATGTAAAAAGAAAGCAATTTAGCTAACGTAGAGAAATCCCTATATAATTTACCCTATTCTCTATACCATCTACTGCACAATGCATGAGCTTCTCCCTGTTGCCACATTCTCACTCACTCTTCACCCCCCTTCATTTCACAAATACTCACTGAGCACCTACTATGTTCAAAGCACTTGGTTGGCACAGACTGTTCAGCACCAGATAAGACCAAGGAAATCTCCTTCTCCAGCTTTAATTCTCATAGTGATGTGGAGACAGAAAGACAACTCACAGACGCTTCAAATTCTAAACTTCAAAAGCATTATCAAAGAAAACACAATTTAGGGGAAAGAAATAAAGACTGAATTGCGGAAATTTACTTTTCCAAAATATGAAGACAGTGACCTGCTTCCTAAGAAATGACAAAAGGGAGCCAGGGCTAGCACGTTGGCTCAGTTGGTAAAGGCACTTTCTGACAAGGCTGAAAACCTGAGTTTAATCCCTGAGACATGGACCTACATGGTGGAAGAAGAGAACAAACTTATGCAAGCTATCCTCTGACCTCTACACATGTGTAGGATGCACACATCCATGGATATACTTGCACACACACACACACACACACACACACACACACACACACACACATTATTTTTCAATGGCAAAAATGAAGTAGTCACGACACAGCACTGAAGTTTATTTGCCCAGGGAAGAAGTGGACACTTCAGCTCTTTTTTTAGAGAGGGACTCAGAAAAGAAAAGAGAGTAGATAAAAACGTCCCGAGGTGAGCTTAAGAAAGAAGCCAGAAGCATACTGAATTAAGTAAGCCTGGAAACTTGAGGCTCTTAGGGGCTAAAATTTATTCTAAACATAGTGGTCAGCCTGCCGGGGATGTGAGACATGGAAGTGCCTTGGCATGACAGTGGTGTTGGCTCCCTGAAGAAGCAAATGAAGAAGGACAGCAAGGCAGGAGATGTTTTCAACTGAGAAGGGAAGGCGGGCATAATAAAGTTGTCATAACTTGTATTTTTTGAGAAGATGGTGGGCTGTTAAGTATAATGCAGACACTTGTAGGGACTGGAATTTCTCAAGAGGTAGAAATTCACTTATTTAACGTTATCCTCCTTCAGGCCCTGGACTCGTGGGAAGTAATTTCGTAGCTCTGTGTAGCTCTTTCCTATCTCCTATTATGTCCCTCTCATGGGACACGCTCTTGGGTAAATACCAAAACTTGTCCTCTCCTTCTCAGGCTAAAGAGGTGGGGAAAGAGGCCAGAGGAAGTAGCTGCCTTAAAAAGCGATCAGGATTCAGGAAGGCAACACACCTGAAGTCATCATTGTCTTGAGTGAAATAAGGACTGTCACTCTTCTGAAGTGCCTTGGCCTTGCTTGTAAAAGTGGCAGCCATCTTTCCAGTATGGTTGTGCTCTCTGAGGGGAGCCTGACACTCCCATGCCTTGAAAATATAGTGCATTTTGTATGTTCATATTCCTCATAAATAAAATCCCTCTGAAGATTTAATGAAGCCTTCTTCATCTCTATATTTGGAAGATATTTTATTGACTTTTGTTGTGAAATGCTGAACATAAAACAACCAATTTTTAAAAACATTTTTATAACTTCTACCCAACTAGATTGAATCCCCTTAAGGTTGAACTACTTTTATTCCCCACCTTACAATTCCATTTTTATAATATATAGCTGTGTATGTGTGTAAATACACATGCCACATAGAGAGATATGTATGTATCTCTGCATATAAACTATTGTCCATTTTAAAGTTTTCCTGAGTTAAATTCTTGAACAAATAATATAAGTGATGCATTGTCTTGCTGAAGTCACCAGGGATGCTTCTATTTAAAAAGAAAAACATCTTGCCGGGCGGTGGTGGCGCACGCCTTTAATCCCAGCACTCGGGAGGCAGAGCCAGGCGGATCTCTGTGAGTTCGAGGCCAGCCTGGGCTACCAAGTGAGTTCCAGGAGAGGCGCAAAGCTACACAGAGAAACCCTGTCTCGAAAAACCAAAAAAAAAAAAACTTTAAAAAGAAAAAAAAATCTCTTCATTTGCTGTGAACAGAAGGAATTACAGCAGCAAGGAACCACTCTAGCTCACAAGACTTGGGGAATCTGAAGACCAGAGTAAGACGGGGTGTTCCTGCTGGTGACATGTGTCCATCAACATCAATTAATATTTCTTGTACAAGGTGTGGGTATGGGCCACGAGGCAGGGCATTCTGTACATGTCCTTTAAACATAAAGACCTTATGTCTGCTTTTTCTTATATCAATAAAGAATGTTCATGCAAAATGTATGTGCTTACACCTTTAATTCTAGGGAGGTAGAAGAGGCAGGCAGATTTCTGTGATTTCAAGGCCAGCCCAGTCTATATAATGACTTCCAGACAGCCAGGGATACATATCATGAGACTCTGTTGCTATATGTATATGTTGCTATATGTATTGCTCATGACCACAGTTAATAATAAGCATTGATGGTGCCACAGGTTTGTGAATAGTGTAGAATCTCATTGCATGTAAGAAAGGAAACCTTATCAAACATATAGGTATTTGCTGACTTTAAGATATCACAGGGACAGAGTTTTGTGAAGACATAAAGGGGAAGTGTATGGATATGAAACTAAATCGACAGCGGTCAGAGTTTACCTTTTTCAAAACTAAGCACCAATGCTAAAAGCGCATGTTTGGTCAGGTGAGGCTGCAGGTGTAATCCCAGCAGTACCAAAGCTATGTTAATGTGCAGGCTGGACATCTCTG